ATTATTTTATCATTTAAAAATACCATAAAATAATTGATTTATTTTATAAACTGATCATAGTAAAGTATTAAATAAAACAAAAAACAACACAAAAGAAAGTAATAACAAAAAAACCAAAACCAGTAAAACTTAAAGAGAATAATACAGCAATATTAGTAAAAAAAAACTATAATAACACTTGTCAGTGCTGTTATACTAAAGAACTAGGAGTTTGTAATTCTAATTGTACCTGTTGTTTTCAATCAACAAATCAAAATTATTTTACAGTTGGTTTAGAAGAATATTAAATAGTGAGACCAAAAGTAAACTTTTGTCCTTTATTAACCAAAAAACTGAACGAGAATGTGGTATTAAAACTTATAAAAAAGAACAAACATGATATAACTCATTTATTCAACACAGAAAAAATAGAGCAAATATAGATACACCTGCTGTGACTTCTGATAAACATAATACTTTTTTATTCTGACTACAACAATATTATCTTAGTCAACTATTATTTCAAGATATACTATTTAACAATAATACTTGCACAAAACATATGTTAGATTTTTATCAAATATTTAAATCAACAATTTTTGGTCATATTAATGATAGTATTCAATCATTGACTGTTGAAGAAGAAAATACAGAAAATAAATACATTTCCTCTCTAGCAGAAGGACAAGGCAGACAAAATACAAATGATGTATATGTAATTAATCTAATTAGAAAATCATTCAAAGTTAGATTATTAATACTTAAGCAAGATAATACTTGTCAATTAACTCAAGATGAAGATATTGGACAAAATGCTAGCTTACCATCATCAGCAGTATTTGAAAACTTGAGCAATCTCGTTGATTGTCATATAAAAAGAAATTTTAATATAGTATATGAAAAAATACAAAATATTGAATATTCCAAATGCAATTATAAAACAACTATATGTTTTAATTAATGCATTGAAAAAAATTGGTGTATTACAGCTTTTAATAATAATAATACAAATAATAAACCAACATTTGTTCAATTTAATACTAGATTTTTTTGGATTGTTGTTGTAAATGATATTAATGAACCATTGTGACATTTAAAATATATAACTAATCAATATAAAAATAAAAGATATATTCTTGGACCCAAATTTAACCCAACTAGAGATAAAGGGTTTTTAAGAGGACCTTGTGCTGTGATATTAGATTTTATT